ACTGGTGATACTTAATGACATCATTGATGTGATTTATGGGGTTGAATAACGACGATTCTTAAGGATATAGCTTAAGGAACTTTCATATTTCATTTCAGTTTGATGTTCACGGTCTTGGATAACCATAATCTGACATTATTTTATCTAACAAGGTACGACATTTTCCCTAGTTTTCGTATTTTGTTTTTTTTTAGGTAAAATTGTTATCTGATGAAATTCAATTCTCTGTAAAGAAATGCTCAAATAAGAGTCGTTTAAAATCGTAAGTGTTTTATTTAAAAAGTAGGGCGAAAGCCTTTACTTCGTAAAATAGAATCCTTAAAACATTCATATAACTTGCTTTTGGTTTGGTTGTAGTTAAGCGCAAGGCTGTCTGTGCTCTTATTTTAGCGTCGTAAGTCTACAAACTTACCACTGATTCACTGGAAGCAAATTACCTTTGATAATATGAAATTATTATCCTCGGCACTGTCAGAGTGTCACATAATTATGATGAATAACAATTAATAAATAGCTGTTCGTATAGAGGTTCTTTACTTCCTGTATTCTTTAAATTCTTATTCGTTTGTTTGTTTCAGAATTTCGCGCAAACTTACACATAGACTTCCCTAATTTTGAGCTGATAGACTAGGGGGAAGGTAGCTAATGAAAGATACCCACCGCCAACTCTTGGGCTACTCTTATCTCTTCGAATAGAGGAATTTGACTATCACTCTTACAGCGGCCCAAGAGTGTGGTGCGCATTTTTTGCGACAAGGAGTTATAAACCATGAATTTTCGGAATAACAGTGCGGACATGCTAACCAATAAGCCACGATTCGCTTCTATCACGAATGGATTTGGGAATTGATTTTATAGCCACGTTAGATTTACGTAGCAAAATACATAGCTGGTTGGCTGATTGTTGTTAAGCACAAAGCAGCACAATTGGCTATCTTTGCTGTGCTCATTCCTGGTATCGAAACGCGGTTTTTAGCGTTATAAGCCTTCAGACTTGGCGCTAAAAATTCAGAGAACTTGAACGTATAAATATTTTATATAAATTTTAAAATTAACAAAACATTTTTAAACGTAACCCTTTATAAATTCGTTGACTAGCTGTCTTTCCTCTAGTCTATTACTGCCAAATTATGGATAGCTTGCGCAAAGAGCTCTTGTGTATCTTTGCACGAAATTCAAAACAAACTACACGTTTACGAAGAAATAGATAAGTTTGTTAGTTTCCCATAACGGTAGAGCACTAAAAATAAAGATGAAGCCAAGAAAAAAAATTTGAAACACGCTCCTGGTAATATATGTAGTTATGTCTATAGTGAAGTATTTATGCAATAGAAATCAGTTACAAATATCAAGCCAGAGGGTCGATAGTGAGCAGATCGTACTACAGATCGTACGACAGATTACAGCTAATGTTTATTTATTTATTTATCGTTGCTTTTATTAATAGTGTTTGTTAGGGTGCCGCAGCTATTGAGGATTCCTCCTTCTTTTTTTAAGAACTTTCTTAATTTATTTTCTTCTTATTTTGTAGTACAAACATGCTCTACCTTTTAGAGTCTATTTCCATATTTTATAAGTACATTTTTCAGAAAATTCTTGTTAGGATTCCAAAGTCACTGCATAAAAGTAAAACTTATGACTGTACCTCAGATAGTCAAGTGAAACTTAAGTGGATAATGTAATTATTTCGAGTATTGAATTTTTACTTCCTCGAGGACTAAAGCGAAGACGTGATTTTTATAAATACGCACAACATATTTTATCATAATCAGCTGAACGGTTTTAGTCATTGAAATGATGTTATTAAGAAATTATTCAAACAAATCAAACACTTACAAAATTAAGAAAGCGTTAAATCACTGCCATGTCAGTCTTTATTTGTTACTTTTCTACCAAATTTAAATATATTTTAACATGCATTTTCGAAAACGGATTCGCAAAGCGCACTACTATTGCCTTCTATGATAGTATATTCTAAACTTTGATAAGCAAACACGAAAACAAAATGGGTGAGGTAGAGGCTTCTAACAAGTATACTAATGAACAGTTTTGCTGATCCTTGTCTATTCAGGGCCTTTTCCAGTTTATTCCTACTTAGGGTTTAGTTTATAAGTTTTAAGGGTTAGTTATTTTCAGGGGTTGGTTTATAAGTCTTAGGGGTTAGTTACTTTCAGGGATAAGTTTGTAAGAAATTGTGTTTATTTCTGGAATTGTCGCGCCACTAAGAACATCTACTTTCCGTAACTTCAGCAAATATGTAAACTCTTCTTACAGACCTCCGTGAAATAGCCTAAAGTGTCGTTATGCACGGTGTCACTTTCTGTACAAATTCGAGTTACAAAATTATTTTAAAGGCTTTCTCAAACATTCATAGTTCATAAGGTTTTGTCCTTTATTTTTTGGGTTTGTTTATTTTTTAATTTCGTGCAAAGTTACACGAGGGCTATCTGCGCTAGCCGTCCCTAATTTAGCAGTGTAAGACTAGAAGGAAGG